TAACACGATGTAATTAAGACAAAAACCTGCACACAGTCAAATGAGATGAATAATAACAATAACTGAGCTTGTTACCCACTCATGGAAAACATTGGGACCTGCCATTGCTTAGCAGCATATTGACTAGTGTGTAATTTGCTCCAGCGTTGTAGGGACGGGTATGTCTTTCAATAACTCTAATCAAAGAATGTAAGCAAAAGAAAAAAAAAAAATAAATATAAATAAGTATAAGTTATAAGTTTATTACGTTTGCGTAAGGCATACGTGAGAAAAGTAACAATAACACAATGTGAATTGTTGAACAAAAAGTACACACAATCAAGTAGGACCGATATAATTATAAAATATATGTTAATCGATGTAAGTCAGTCTCATAAAACATTAGGACCCCCATTGCCCACCAGCAAATTGACCACATGGCGTTTAAATTGCCAGCAGTGAAGTGGCGGGTATATGTTTCAATAACTTCAAATAGTCGCTAGCGGCCCTAAAGGTGAAGCTTCGTGCCCGTAAGTTAGTTTTAGGCCGTGTCAACGAGATCTTCATCGAGCCTCCCCTTGTTCTCGAATATCTTAATTTGAATACATCGGAGGCACCGTAACCACACGTGCCCTGAACCAGCTTATGAACTAAACAGAGGTCGAAAACTCTGCGCCTTACTTCTAAAGATGTAAGTCCAAAGCATGTAAGACAAAGAGCTTCTCGAGTTATTCAATAACTAGATAAAAACTTTTCCACCGTACACACACACAGTACATTTCTGTCACTGCATCGCGACTGCCGAAATCGAGCTCTCATAAAGCAATCCCATATTTTTGGTTCCAAAAAGTAATACGGGAATCTTGTTGTTCCAAACCCCAACTCGCTCTGAGCAGGTCAACGATCTTTGGGCAGTTCCAATCTATGATGCCGTTTGTACGACCATGCGAAGAGAGGAACCGTTTATCTCCAAAATATGGACATCGTTCTTCAGAAAGCATGAAGAAAATGTTTTGAATGTTTGAAAGTTTGACGACAATTGAAGGAAGTTTGAGCGTTGAGAAATTCTGCCACTTCTTCCCTCCGCCGCCAACGTCTGCGGATTTCATCGAAGGGAGGTAATAAGGAATTGACAGAGGGTGGAGCAAGCTAGCTCGGACTACAATAGGAAGAAGGGAGTAGTGGAATCCATATAGAGACCTCCTTTCGGACCTCATAGTTGAGGAGGGCGGGGGGGGGAGTGGGTCGTGCTGACCCCAAATTTCTCCTAACTCAATGATTAACCCAGCTTCTGAGCCAATTCAACTGAAGTCATAACACATTGACGGCAGCCCGTTGTGCGTGTTTTTCTTGATAATTTTCTAAAGCTAGAGCTACTCTTTCAATAATTTCGTTTCTGATAATAGTTTTCTGGATCCAATAACGTAGGCGGAAAAGTTTCTAACATAAAAAAGCCCAAGTAAATCGAGCAAAACATGTTTATTAAGGATGATGTTAGAGTCCGCGATCCTTTGCGCGATTTCGCTGTTTGCGCGATTGCGCGATTTGCGATTTTTGCGATTTCGCGATTTGCGCGATTTTCGCGCAACCTACGATGGATCACAGGAGTTGGAAGTGCCCGATGAATACTGCGAGGTGTTGTTTAATCCTGCTGCGCATTCGCTTGGAAGACGAATGTTTGTGGTTCTACTTGTTTCATGTTCAATGTCTATTAGTTCATTGAAATGCTCTTGAATCGTTCCTATTTTTTTCAGGAATCAAACCAAACCAATCACAAAAATTGCAAGTGCCCCATTTGAACAATTGAAACACTGGATATGAAACAAGTGGAATCATGAGCAGTCTCCATTAAACCATAACCATCAAGCAGAAGTGACGGCGGGATTGGAGAACACCTTGCAGTATTGATCGGGCACTTGTGATTTCCGTGACCCGTCGCGCAAATCGCGAAAATCGCGCAAATCGCGAAAATCGCGACGCGGACTCTGACATCAGCCTAACGTGGAAATCTGACGCGCATGCGCATCATGCTGTCGCGAATGTGGTAAAATTCCTTCAAAATGCAGACATGGCAACACTACTGAGCTTTGTCGGTAAATCTGCAGCTTATTCGCATCTTAATTTCATTAACTTATGAAATTACTAATTTTTGATTAATTAACTTCGGCCCAACTGATTGATTTAATCACTACGTAGACTAGAGCAATAATTTCGAGTGAGCAAAACCACTATGATTAAGAGAATTATCAGGCCTTTGAAAGAGCTCCGATTGCTTGAATTTCTAGAGAAATCCAAAGACTGGTAGCGGCGATATCAGAGTGTTCGTTATCATAATTAGTTTTTGAATAGCAATTTTCTGAAACCTTTATCAAGTGCTTTGGATACCGTAACACCCGAGGAAGCTTCTCGTCGATCAGACTGCGTGAACAATCACGAACGTGAAATAGTCGACCATTTCCTATTTTCTGAATGATAACTGATCCACCACAATTCATCCACTCGGGACCACTTCAGGGAAGGAAGCGAGTGGAAAAGAGGATCTTACACTTATCTGCATGTTCGTCAGTGCTGAGGTGTAAAGGTGCTGATTAATACAACAAGTAATCCACAAGTACTAGAACTATTGGAAGTATTACTTTGGCATCCACTCAAGTTATACTTGCTATTTTTGTTCCATTACATATAAGCCGATTAGCTTCTTTTGTCTAGTGAGAATTCTTGCACTCCCTAGAGTAGGCAGTGATTTTCTGTACGAAGTCAAGACATTTATTATCTGCAGCAGCGCACTTTTTCGAAATTGCAGCACTTAAAAATATCAGGTAATTCCAGAAATTCATAAGTAGTCTGTTCAAAAAAATTATGAAGTACTGAAATTAAGAAGACGCTACCTAGTAATTTCATCGATGATATGTTTTCAACTTTGCAGAAATTTTTTTTCAGGTCGGAAACTGTAACTAGGTAACCATTTTGTAGAGAAAAATCTGCTCCTATTGTGTTCTGTTTTATTCAAAATTTTTAATACGAATTTCTTAGCGAAAATATTAGGTCGATCGAAAAGTCATGCCGTTTCCAGTAGTTGACTAATTTCCTGTGTTTTTTTTTCTGGTAGCCATATTATCAACTACTGTATTTATTTAATTTGGTAACCATTTTGTAGAGAATCTGCTCTTCTTTTGCATAGGAAAACTGAAAGCGTAGAGCAGGGCGGAAATTGCAGAGAGAACCCGACCCTTTTGGTACCCCACGGCACATTGTAAAAAAAAACTATAAAATTGTTCGAGAAGAGCTTCAAAATTCTTCGCTCTCCTTCGTCTTGCCCGGTCAATTCGCGAACAAATGCCCCCCTTTTAAAAACTTTTTTCGCCACCTTAAAATTTCAAGCCCATAATTATGAGAGAAATTTGCTTGAGATTAAAAGAAGTAGAATTTGACTTTCCAACGTTTTGACTGAAATTTGAAAGAATGGATTCCATCTTTACCAAAGATAACGTTTGACGACACAATGGTTTTACGAATGTTTTCAATGGAGATAGATTCCCGAACATGAAACGTCGATAAACGGCCGAACTTGTTTAGGCAGTATAGTAACAATTCGTTCGCGCATTCTTCTAAAAAAAAACGAAAAATTGACTAAAAATCGCGAGTTCTGGGCAAAAAAATTAAAAATCTGTTTTCGGAAAAACAGCTGCTACCGGTCTGTAAATTCACACGTATTACTTACAAAAACATTTTCATGCAATATCAATTCTGGTCTCTCTTCTCGGTGTGTTTCCACTGGGTGTTGTGACATCTAATCCTTTTGCTCCTCTGCGTCTCCTTCACAAGGCCAGACACCAGACACTAAGGCCCAAACTTTTGCCACAGGTTAAGTGGCTCACACACCCCCCACCCCCCTGAATTGGCCCCATTCCCCCTGGCTCACGCATTCTTACTTACTACCAGGTTCCCTCCACACCAAAAGGATTAGATGTCATACAACCCACTGAGTAGCAAGAAGTCAAAACGCGAGATCGCGTACTATGGTCGTGCTGAGTGGGCGGCAATCGATTGAAAACGGTCGCTAAGCGTGAGATCCAACAGAGGAACAGACACAACGATAGCACTAGCGCGATGTGAGCGAAAGAGTGGGAATAAGGTGTCGTTCAAATGACCTGCCGCGTACGCAAGCTGATTTACGGGATGGTCTCTTATCAAACTTCCTTGCTAGCGGTCCATTTGCAGGCCATTGATAAAAAATAAAATGCACTCGTAAGCGAAGAAACGATAAAAATAATAGCATTGCCGGAACGCTTTCGTATGACGTCATGGGCTGGCAAAAAATGTGATAAATCTCCGAAATCAATTACTTTATAGGAAAGGGCCTGTAAAACCTTCTACGTTTTACTATACGTGCAATAGAACGAGAGGAGCTCTAGAATAAGACTGAACTATTCGGACTAAAACCGTTAGCGAAGCAGGGAAGTTAAGCTAAACACCTCACGATCATTCAAAACCTTTGTGATGGCCGCACATACTCTCATTTTGCCAAAGTCGTGATGCAATGCCGTGTCACTCTCATTACTTGAATAATTAATGATGTTATCACTAATGTAATAAGTTCTAGTTGATACTGTTGAATCAATATTAAACAGTAATAACAGCAATGATAATAATCACTAAACCGCTCGACTTTGAAAAGTGCCACTGTGCCATTTCTTTCAATACTAGTGAGTCCCAATAGTGCCATTATTACGCCACGAGTGAAACAGAATTTATCCTATTTGGAGATCAACTCTAGGCTTTGTCGCCTCTATAGGAGCTTAGCTCCCAAATTGCTATTTAAAGAAAAAGTTAGAATCTAGCCTAACATTTTGAAATTATCTATACGGTAACAGCAGTAAATAAATAATTCAAATACACTTACTATTTGCGGAAAAAGCTCTATAGACCGGTCTAGCTGGAGTCATTGCTTTCAAAAATTTGATTTATTTTCTGATAATCGAGTGAGTAGCTCAGTTTCATTTTCGTATTAATTACGGTTCATGAGCAATTCAAAAAAATATTTCTCTAGTTCGTTGCGCTCACGTGTGGCGTCGTTAGCTGCCCTTTGTCAGCAGGTAACCCCACGTCTGCGCGAGTCCTACCTGGAGGGCCATATTTTATATGTGTGGAGAGGGAAAATTTTTTTGCCAAATCTGAAAAAAAGCGTGATAGAACCACCTTTTCCCTTCGCCCCCTCCCCTTCCTCCCCCCACCATTGCTCGGCGCGCTTTTAAAGTTTTGGAGGCGGAATTGGGAGGGATGTCAAGTTGAAGCAGGTTCGGTGACATCACCACCGAAAAAAGAGCAGAGGTCTACATGACTCGGCTGACTCACATCCGTGCCATTTCCATGATGCGCTGCTACAGCACACTTAATTTGGACTCCCAGAGCTATCATTTTTTCTTTTGAACGCTTAAAGCAGTTGTTTACAAGTTTGCGAATAACTATGCAGCTGATATTATATGAAATATGTACATTTATTTCAACTGACCCGTCACAATTTTTTGAAAGATTCTTCGAATAGGAGGAAGTCTCAGCTTCAGTTGGGGCCAATATAAAATTAAACGTAGATGGAATCGTAGGGATACATTGAGCAAAAGTCACGTTGTACTATGGCGTATTTTTTTAAATTTTTTTTTCCGCTGTATTCAACTATTTCTTGCAGTATTTCTTCTTTGTGCTGGTACTGTTCATCGCTGAAATCGTGGCCATTGTGCTGTACTTCGTTTACAAGAGTAGTGTAAGTGTTTTGTTTTTCTTTGAAACAATGGGACAGATACTGTTTTGGCGTGTTTCGTCAAATGTTTCTCACGAAATGATAGAATCTTGCGGCATGCTTCAAAAACATAACCATCGATTCAGCAGTTTTCTAGTCACTGGGCCGTTTTGAAACGGGACCGCATCATAAAAGAGTAAGTAGGATACCGCCGTCAGCGCTGAACAATGGTTTTTGAGATGCGCCACGCATTCTTCTTCTATTCAGAACTGTAGTAGCACTTGAATACGATTTGGCTAGTGTTTTTATCCTCCCGCAAAAATAATTCTAATTGGCCATGGAGGGCCTGACATGCAAGTCATGGTTGACTCATGGTTCATCCGGTGCAGGATTTAAGCCCCTGACCATCTGCGGGGTAAGCAACGCCCCTTACCTTTTCACCGCTTTGGCCCTCGAAAGATTTTGAACGAAATATGAATTTTCACGACTTAGCATCGAGAGCATTAGAGATTGGATTTGTACCAGCGCACTCCCGTGCATCATTTTCGGCCTACCATTGCTCTTCCCTTGCACTTCCCATTCTCTGGCCTCGTCGTACATTGCTTCTTAGACTGTCTTGCAGATTCGCCTATTTCTAAGAAAAAAAAGAGACCTTCGATTTGGAGTACTGCTGTATATTTGAACCCAGTTCCCTTGCTTCCGGCATTGGCGAAATGTACCTTAAAGGCGTAGAGGAGTACCAGAAATGCTCATGTCTTCTTTTGTATTTTCTTCTTTTTTCTGTATCGTAGGAATTTCGAAAATGATTTTTTCAGATACGCGACAGTTTCGTGACGGTGTGGCGTAACGAGTTGGTGAATAAGTATCAGTCTTCACAGACAATTCGGGAAACACTCGACAATATCCAATCGCAGGTGACTTTCATTGAGAGTCGTAATCAACATCCTAAGAATGTATGAGTAAACTGCTATGTCGGCATAATCATAGTAAATTAAGCCCTTTGTGTCAGCTGACAAGTTCACCAGATGAATGAGAGAAGCCTGATACCAATAGAAAGCTAGAATTTTTTCCTGCCTTTCGCATTAAAGGAATCCTTCGCGGAAAATTCTTGCATTCTTTCCCAACATGAATATGTCAGTTGTGATCACTGGAAACAGCACACAAAGTTTCACGCATGAAGATTCGGTTTCCGAAGAGAAACAAACTACAAAAACTACACTCTATGGACAATCGAAGGTAATTCGGGCGGAGCCAAAGGCGGGGCATGGAAAGAAGTCCGCTTGGGCGGCTACGTATCAGGCGACGCAATGAAAGAATCGGGTTAAAGCGTTTGGAGAGTAGAGACAAATCGATCGATAGAATAGGATGCAGTAGAAGTGTGAGATGTGAATGCAATAAGTCAAAAGGCCAGAAAGAGTTTCTAGTGACGGCACTCCAAGAACCAAGTGGAAGCATTCCCGTCGCCAGCATTTGTGACAGATGTCCGGCGGTTTGAACGCGTAGCAGCCCTTTCGGTTTTTCGAATTTTTTACCAAAACAAATGCATTTTTTTGTTCTTTTCGTTCTTATCGTGAACGATGGGTCCCAAGCCAGTGAATTATGGGTGAGATAGAATCACAATTTTTCCGAGAAGGATTCCTTTAAGGGCAATGATCACGATGACTTGGAGGGTGGAGCGATTTTGGTTACGTCATTGAGCGTGATTGAAATTGAAAGGGCGTGAATGAATCCTAACCGCACTTCCCAGGGCAGTAACGGCCTCGCCTACAATGACATCCAATGCCGTCATCAAACCTGCCTTATCCTCCGAGCATCGTGTTCAGTGACTTCAAAATTCGCCTAGTAGTAAACACCAACCAACACATTACAAGTGGAATAAGAATCTCCCTTTCATCCTTCTCCATCCTAACGCATGTTTCTGGTTTTAATTTTGGTTTTGCATGTTACATCCACTTTCAACTTCCGAAATCGGATTTGGTTTGTCGCTCAGAGTAAGGTTCAGTAGCGGCTTGTAGCCAGTTCCAGCTAACTCCTCGCGTTCAACTTCAGTGACTGACCTAGTTGACAGTGACGGTTATGGTAAGATCTATACGTGCACCTCCCCCTCCCCCTCCAAATTCTAAAAATGCTTCATTAAGGGGTATATAATGCATCCAATAACTTTTAGACTAGCGAAATTTGTGAAAGCTCCCATAGTCCCCAATCCCTAGAATTTTTTTTTCTCCCAAAGAGCTACTTTCTTCTGATGTGTTCAAAGATGAGACTCCGATTAGCCAAACACGGCTTCCCGATATAAAAAAGACTGGTAGACAGACTGTACTGTGGGAGGGTTGATCTGAGGTGAACATAGGTGAGAAGCCAACTTGGGTTCCTAGCGCGCCCTTGGCTTAGTAACAGATCGGTTGAGGACCATTATAAAACAAGGACTGCAGTGCCAGCGCAACCACTCCCTTCAAGGCTAATAGCTGGCCGAATGAGTGCTATATAATGTCACACTTTTAATCTTCCATGGGTTATTAAAGTTTCTCTGTATTTTATCCGCTTCACGGATAGACAAGCCTAACGGAATTCAATAAAATGCTCCCCATCAGTAGTAGGAAGCGCTCGAATCAGTACATCTTGCTATGACTTTCATAAAAACAGCGTGCGTTGGTAGGAATCGGCTCTATACGCATTACTACCTCACGCTCTGTTCAATTGGGTTTGTGGAATATTTCCGCCGATTATGACTCTGAATTTTTAAGTACATCTTTGTTCCCACAAATCATTTTTGATCACTGCTGTAATCCCCGTAATCCCTGTAATTTTTGCCAACAAGAGGAGAGGTTTCAATAGATCCGGTTATGAAAGTGCTGGGGTTTAGTACGCAAAGAAGTTGCCGAAGGTTGTTTCACCATCATGTTGTTATCAAGGCTTCAAGGCAGTGATTACGATAGGCTCAGAAGGGTTATGGAGACTGGTGGTGCTCAATGGTACGCCAGTGGCGAAAAAAGCGGAGAAATCCGTCAAGAAAACGCAAAACGGGACCCCTTTTTTGGCCGTTGGTTTTCACTCATGAACAGGTAACAGCTCAGAAAGCGGACGTATGAACGAGTTCATCGCAACGCGTTTGGTGACAGCCAATCCATGCTCCAATCGAGTTGCTTCAGTTGTGCCGCTGCTGGCAACGCAGCTCGTCCAAATCACCAAGTAAACTAGTGGGCGGATCGCTTTTGGGGGCGGAGTGCTTTCGAAGTCCTGCTCAGCAACCAGCGCACCTTTCGTCGTGAAAGCGCCACACCTCGCTTCCTTGGCAGCCAAGTAACTGATTCGTGCATATGCTTCCCGCAATCTTTTCGTGATCGCTGCCTTTAATATCTTTGAAGAGACCATACAGATGGTTGGAGATGTGACAGTTGGTATGCAGTACGTCTACTGCGTGAAATTTTCGCACACTTTCGTAGCTCAGCAGTCAAACTTCAAGGGATGGAAGTGCGACATGGGCTGCGCAACTGTGGGTAGGAGAGTGGGCAGCACCACTTGTCAAATTTTTCGGAATTTTCACCTTCACCTGTATATTTGGAAGTCCTGTTCCGGTCGCACCCAATCCAGTCTCGAAAAATACGTTTTGATTGACGACTATACAGCGTTTTTTGATTAGCGAGCAAAAGCTCAATTGATATCGCGACTTGCCTCCGCACTTTTCGGCCAAATCGATGGGAAACAAGAAACTCGCGCAAAATTTCCTGTTAACAATGTTAAATTCAAGACTTCCGAAAAGAGGGCAAAAGTGATTCACTGTAAAAAATGAACGACAGATTCGGATAAAGCGAGAAACGCGCTGCCTAACGACATATATCCAGAATGTTAGCAGTTTCTTGGGAATCGTTCAGCTAAACCATTTTAACTTGAGCTACCGAAAGCAGCGGAAACTTTACGAACAATCCAGTTTACGAATTCCGAAAATGAGCGCAATCTGTTCAAGTTGAGATTTATTGTTGAAAAATTACTCTAACCGGATGCAACTTCGATTTTTTGTCGAAGTTTCGTGCTAAATTTTGCTCAGAAGCAGTGATCACGATGTTAAGAGGGCGGTACGGTTTTCATGACTTTGTTGAATGTCACTGGTGGAAGGGCGTTAACAGGCGGCCTCAAGCAACTCCCCTCCCCCCTCCGTAGCACCCTGCTGGATCTAGTCCATCAGTAGCGTTCAATGACGTCATCAAATTCACCCGACCATCCAATTTCGTGAGCACTGCCTTTGAGTTGTCATTTCAACCCACGCTTTAAATGAATAGCTCTGAAAACATTTCGCCATAAACTCTGATCTTGATGTACTAATTTTCCGGCAGTAACTCCAGCAGTAACTTCTCATTTGACTTCCGCCTAGTCTTTCCACTGGGGCATAGCTGAAGTCATGGTAACCCGGTAATTGTCTGAGCAGCACAACTTTTGTCTGCGACTATGATTGAATTTGAATCAGCTTTTGCGATTCGGTCAAAAACTGGTGGAGATGACTAATCAAATAGGCAGTTCAATTGCAACGATGCAAATTCCTTAGTTCTCCCCTGCCTACAGTAGCGGTCAAAAGTGTTCGCCGAAACGGTTTTTCGTGCTTCTCTTTTTTTTGCCAGAAAAAATCAATGGTGGCCTCAAAAATTTTTCTTTTGAAATCCTGATTCTTTAAGACTTGAGGATATAAAACACTAGAAATAGTATATCAATCTTTGGAAAGCGTTGCTCAAGCGAGAAAAAAATAATGCACCGAAAAATCGTTTCAGCGAACAGTTTTGACTGCTACTGTAACTAGCTCATTAACTTGGCACGAAGCCAATCCCAAATTTTTACTAATATGTCATATTCTGTATACATAAAGCCAGTATTTATTGAGGAATTCAAAATATTCTATTGCTTCAGCATTAGTTATCGTATTTAGGTGATAAAGCCTCAGTTGACTCATGTGAGCTGTGAAATAAGACGTCTCCATTTCTTGTTAGACGGACATGTTCTGAAAAAAACTAATAGTTTTGCAAATTATAGGTTGAAGGCGGCGATTACAATAGTTTCTACAGAGGCTTACGGGGGTCATGGGGATGCTCAATGGAATTCAGGGCGAAAAAAAGAGAGAAGTCATTCAAAAACACTCAAAACGGGACGTTCTTTCGGGAGCCGTTGATTGACGTTCACAGACGGGCAGCGGTTATGGGTGCTTATGTACCCTCTATTTCGGGAAACGAGAATAGCGTCTAGTGCAGACCATACAGCACAAGTGACGACGGTCAAGAAAAAAGCCTAATTTTTTCTTGGCCGTCGTACAAAGTACAAGTACAACAAGTCTACCTTTTTTTATCCTCCCGGAAACAATATTTTCATCCTCACAGCAGAAGCCTTCTCACCATACGCCAAGAAACAGTCACTGCCCAGCTTGATTGGCAAGAATGGCACTTTTCTTCGAGGCTATCATATCAATCAATAATCTCTGTAAAGCAGGAGGATGCGGGAAATAACATCTAAAATTCTTCGTATTTCAGTTGAATTGTTGTGGTGCCTAGCGGATGCAACGACTATACGTCTTATGGCTACTATCCGAACACTTGCCAATGTTCCATTAACCCATCTCAGGTACGAACTGGCGAGCTAACCTCCGATATTTCTACTTTCTCCAGATGTGTTTCCTAAGTTCAATTTCTGGCCATTCTGCTGAACACTAGATAGCTAAAAAGCCGATTTCACAGTTGCAAAGTGACTGTCAGTGTGCTCAAAAATGAAAACGATTTGGTAATTAGCAGTAGTGAGTGGGATCGAAACTGCCAAAAAACTTCGCTTTGTCCATTTGTGCTTTATTGCTCACAATATTAGCGTACTTTGATTGTAAACATAGTCAAATAAATAAACAAATAGAAAAATAATCAAATAATCCTTCAAAGGCACGTTTCGCGTTGATTGTGTGGGCGGGGGCAGACGCACCATCTCTCACTGGTGAGTCTCTCGTCCTACCGTGTCGAGAGGAGGTACCTACCAATGAGAGCGCGCAGCGGTACATCAGTCTCTGTTCACACGACCAACAAGGGATATACTTTCGAGGATCTTTTCTTTTTTTTCTGCTGACTGTGCATCGATCAATTGTCCGCTGCGAGTTCTGAACGCAATAGTCCGTACTCAGGCTGCCGAGGAATGTGTCTTTGATATCCATCACATCTAACTAGTCAGCTCATCTTTCAGATCGGTTGTGCCACCTATATATGGCAACTGTTGGAGTCGAACTTCATCTATGTGATCGTCGTGGCTGCCATTATTCTTATAGTTGAGGTGATGCTTTTCAACATTGTGTTTTAGCTGCTCTACTTAGGCGAGCCTGAGGGTCATCATGCCTTCACGACTTCGATTCTGTCCATCATCGTAGTAACGCTCCGTATCTTGTTCTTACTCTTGACCGGGAGACAAATCATGTGAATATTAGTAGTGATAAGGAAACGTGCGCTGTTGCCTCACAGGCCGGTCACTGAGGGCGGAGCGGTCACTTCAATAGTAAGGAAGCAAGTCATTTCCACCAGCCCTTCTGAATGATTTGTGATTTTTTTCGGGAATCAGAGCTGGAAAAACCGAAAATCAAAGTTATCCTCATCAGTAGTGGAAATTTTCCTGTCTACCATTAGTGGGAGCAACAAGTACAACCACCCTTGTGTTAGGCATGTCATTTCCTATATGGTAAAAAGAGAGCTTTTACCCACTGCTATAAGAAGACTCCGTGAAGGAACTCAACGAATCCTTATCGTAGTGATCAATCCAAAATTGAGCAGGAAAATATTTCTCACATTGAGAAAACTTGTGAAGCTCGAAAAGCGAAAAAAAAATCGGGGACCGAGGGAGGCAAGAGGTCAGGTGTGCAAATCACACATACTCAAGAGCAGCAACAAGGTGGAACGTGCCATATTAGTTGTGGGAACAACCAATCATTCAATCATGTCTTTGAATACTAGTTTTAGGTGATGACATGGCGTATACAAGACGTCGCTACGATTTTTTCCACTTATTCAGGAATAATTTAAAGTAGCTCACTTTTCAGTTCTTCGCAATGATCTTCTCATGTGTATTGGTGAGCGCTGTCAAAGAGAAGAGGAACAGTTAAGAAGAGCGAAGAAATACACCCATCTATTCAATGCCGTTGTCTGCTCTACGTTTTTATATCCACAGATTGTTTTTTTTTACTTTTTTCGGTGATACAGAACATTTTATACGCGGTTATATAAATCGAGAAGTGCGCAACCAATCAGGCCCGCTGGAGAAGCATCATCCGTTGCTGTGGGTGGAGCTTTCATACCTTATTGGTTGCCTATGTATCCAGTCACAGACAAGTTTTTTTTTCGGATATTACTACATATTTGAAATGGTATATTTATTTGATGTGATACATTTTTGTTGTAAATCATTTCGAGCTGTCGTTGAATAATCTATCTTAACAGTGTCAATCCCATCTGATTATTGATTACTCGGAGTGTCATTGTTAGCTCGCATTCTATTATTTGTAACATGCACACTAATTTTACCGTTGACATGTTGAAAAGGGTACTTGTTAAAGCATTCTTCTGGAAATATATTACATATAGATGTCTGAATCAAGTAATTCTTGTAGATACATCATAATTTACTTTGTACTTTGTTTATATGACCTCAATAAGCCTCCCGGTGAGAAGAGAACTTATGAGAAGCTGTTACTGAAATATCTGTATAACCACTTCATTACTACGACAACTATTTATAAAGATGTTCCATTAAAGAGATGAGTCACTCTGTAGAGGTTAGAGGCAGCGATTACGATAAATTCAAGAAGGTTTAGTGTGACGTGGTGGTGCTCAATGGTGTCCAGTAGCGAAAAAAAAAGCAGAAAAATCCGTCAAGAAAACGCAAAACGGGACCCCCTTTTTGGCCGTTGGTTTTCACTCATGAACAGGTAACAGCTCAGAAAGTGGACGTATGAACGAGTTCACCGCAACGCGTTTGGTGGCACCATGCCAAACCACGCTTCAATCGAGATGCTCCATTTGCGCCGCTGTCAGACAACGCGAATCGCGCAAATTC